CGTGCAGAACAAGCAGCCTGAGTGTAGTTCTATGTATTTGCATACCCGTGAAGTAAATGCACCAGGTGATGATATGTATATGGCAGCTCTGCTCTGAGAGTTGATACGACTGATTAAAACAAGGGCTGGCTTGGAGTACTGTTACAGTATCACATATTGAGTTATTCAAAAGCGTGTTCTTGTACTTGAAAAGAGATGAATATCTGTCTTTTTATTGAATAAACTCATAACAGGATCTGGGAACAGAAAAGGGGAGGGATGCTGTGTCAGCATGTGGGTTGCAAATGGAACAAAAGTTATTTCAAATGTGCACAGGAACTCAGAAATTAAAAAGATTAAGCATGCTGTGGTCCTTTGACCAACTGCCCTTCTCATCCTTACTTTAAATAGTTTTTACTGAGTTAAAATATTTGTAAAAGTTAAAAAGATTACAGCATTTTTAAGCAGCAGACAATAAAGTCCCATGGGAGCAAAGCTTTCCCCTCTGGCCCCACGGAGGGAGGAGCAGTGCTTCTGCAGCAGGGCCAGTCAAGCTCCGCAATGGAGGGTTCATCCTGTCTGCGGGAGGGTGAGTGCCTACAGCAGGTGATGTTGCGGTCCTCTGGTGGTCTCTCAGCCAGCAGCAATGCTTTGCGGCAACAAACCTGAAAGCAATTTTTTCTCTCATTTCTAGGAAGTTTTCCATTCTGTTACTGGTTTGTTTCCTTTTCTTTTTCTAGAAAGTAGAGCAGCCTTTCATGGCTTCTTAAGTTTAATTCCTGGCCTGAAGGGATGGGCAGTGGAAGTCAGGTTCTTGGTTGGACTATACTCCATTGGAAGGGAGTTACATAGAGCGGAGCCGTAGCAACTATAGAGCTCGTCCAGCCTTTCCAAGCAGAGTCAGTATTTGGCCTTTAGCAGCCAGCGCTGTAACTTAGATATTGTAGCACTGGGAAGAGGTGTAGTTGCGCAGCTGAATCCAGGGGAGCGGTTACGTACTGCCCTGAGATCAGGATTTGAGCTCAAGGATCCTTAAACGTGTGCTTCATTTTAAGCTGAAGTGTACTTGTAGTGAAGTTAAGGGACCACATCTAGGACTGAAGTATTTGTATCCTTTTGAAGTTGGATTTTAAACACATGGCTATTCCTCTTGAGCGATACATAAAGAGTGATAATATTGCTATCCTCTGACACGAAATGCTGAAGTTATTCAGTCCTCAGGAATGGTCTTAATCTCACCAAATTTAAGCCATCCAACATTTAGACAGTTGGTGTACACTAGAAGTCTAGTTTCCCTCTCTAGTCAAGAGACATCAACACCTACATGGGGTAGTTTGCTCCCTCCTGGGAGGTATTTTTTCAGATACGTGGGATAAATACTGGAGGCTCCTCTTGGTGATAGATGGAGTCTAGCTGACTAACTTCGATCAGATGAATAACTTTTAAACTGAAGCCACACCACAGATATTTTTCTTCTCTCTCACTAATTTTTACTGTAGATTTTCAGATTGCCACTGCACGTCTGACAGCGCCTTCTGTGGGTGCCAGGTTGCACAGATCTACCTAGCATGGACAATGCTGTATCTCCCCGTAATATCTTTGAAAGCTCTTTGTGTTGCATTTACAAATGTGTTTTCCTTAAGTAGGATCCTTTTGACCTGGCTCCTTAAAAGCAATTAACCTCTGAATTTGTCATCTTGATGTAAACACAAGCTTATCTTTTTTTTTTTTTTTTTGATACTGAGTAAATTCAGATGTGTGGAAACAAAGCTTTCCAGTTGAGAGATATTTTTTGTAACCTATTCAAAAGGCACGTACCTTGCCCGTTACATACAAGGGCAGACATACATTTGTGACTCCAAAGAAATTCCATCCTCTCAGCAGGGCTGTAATTGGCAATCTGTCGAGCACGGCTGAGAGGAAAGTGCTCTTTCAAGTGACTTTAAACTCCTTGAAAGGGACTGGATAAATGAAGCTGGCTTTGCTAGCAGTGTTCTGATTTCAGGACGTAAATTCTAATTTATAGAATAATGCCTCTGTCCATTCATCTGTCTGTCCCCTCTCCCTCTCCCTGCTCCCCGCCCTTCTTCTGCCCTATTTCTTTTTTGCCTTGAAAACTCCAGGATTTGATAATAAAGCCTTTGAGAGCTAATATATTTTTCCAGGGGTAGCCTGAGTGCAAAATCTATCCCATCTGGCAATACTTTAGTTAAACCAGGGGAAGAGCATCGGGCCTGATTCTGCAAATATTTAAACATGTGTTGGACCAATCATGAAAGTGAAGTTGCACTTGGTACATTCAGGAGTGAGCTTTTGAGTCTTTGTAGTGTGAAATACAGCACCTACGTGAGTGTTTCTGTGCTGGAGGAGTTGTTCTTAGTCAGCATAATCATACAGAAAAGTGGGCCCATTTGCAAAACGTACTTAAAAATGAACAGATTATTTGCTAACATCTTTGTAGAAATAGTTTAACGAAGATATTCCCTGAAGAATGAATAAATACTAGGATCACAATTCAGTGACTGTGGAACATGATGGCATTAACGTGAACAAGTAACCAAAGGAAAGCACGTGCCTAAGTGCCTTGCTGGATTGGGGCCAGGATGGTTAAAGCAGTTGCTTCACAGCAACAAGGCACAAAAAAATGGATTTCCCATGTGAAAGGGACTTCTTACTTTTATTTTAAGTTGCATTTTTGGTACTATTAAGAAGAAGCACAAAGACTCTCTTGCCATGTATCTACCAGTCCACAATGACTTGAGCTAGGTTGTGTGCTTTGGTTAATCGGGAAGCTGGTTCAGCTCTTCTGTACTTTCAAATCCCAAGGGCAACGGAAGAAGATCTGACAGTGTGTAACAGTGGTAGCATGGTATTTCACGATACTCATCTTACTTGTCAAATACATGTTCAATCTCACACTTTGTGCCAGGCTTCATGCCACAAAAGGCAAATGCACGCTTGGTGTTTCAGACACACGTAGGCCTGTCTCCAATGCAGGGCTCCTTGAGTTGTGTCAGTCAAGTCACCACGTCGTCACCGAAAGCAGCCGCCTTGCCAAAAACCTGGCTGGGTGGCAGCCGGCAAGGTGCGTGGACACGAGCCATTGCTGACAAACCATGTCCCCCCAGCAGCGCCAGCTCAGGCAAGCGTCCCCCGCCATTGGCTGCGGTGTGCATCCCTGGATGGGGCAGGCAGCCGGGGACCATGGCGGCAGCTCACACCATCGACGGGTTTGTGCATGGGCAGAGCAGAGTTATGTATCTCAGGCTGACAGCGCTGGGGAGGCAGTCCCAGCCTCTGCTGTCTCCTGGGTTTCAGACGTCATCAAAACAAACTTTGGTGTGTAATGACTTCATCCCTTCTGTGTGCAAAACACCTGAAAAAGTCAAAAGTCCCTTAAAACACCACATGGATGACTGGGCTTTTAACAAGAATGATCAAAGTTGGAAAGCAGGAAGGATTCTTTTTTTTTTTATTTAGCCAAGAGAAAGTACTTCATCAGTGACACTATTTAACCACATTTCTAATTGATTTCCTCTAATTATGTAGGCTTTAGACCTTTGAGTGCTTTATTCCCATTGTTTTCAGTTGATAACATCCAAGAACATAAAGTAATATTTCAAGAGACTGGCGATAGTAATGAAACAAGTATAAACAAACTTAACTCTTGAGTTACCATACCCCACCTTTATGAATTTCCTGTCATTCAGGGTATCGCCTAAACAACATTTTGTCGGACATGACATGAACTCAAATGTGTGAAACCACTGACAGGTTCAATTCAGATGTCAAAATGATTGCAAGCAATGATGAAATTTATTTCTATCTTTCCATTTACACAGTACTCCCACTGCAATGTAAATGTTTGCTTGTGTGAAGTTCCTCAGCAGTTCATAATCATAATTAAAAAAAAGGGGGAATTAGCTCTTGTATTCTTTGCTGAAACAAAAGACAATTAGTGTAACATGTTATTGTGGCCGAATTAGCAACTCTTCTTTTTCCTTCCTTTTTAAAGAGTAGACCACTAAAATCTGCATATCCTCAGTCTCATTCTCTGAG